TTCAGAGACCATAATCTCTCCTCATATGACAACCCCTCCATCTCAGGCACCATTCTGAACCATTTCCAGAAATTCAATGTCCTTCCTAAGGTAAGGAGCCCAAGGCTGAACACAATACTTTAAAAGTCTTTTTAGACTTGTATTCAATATTTCTGTAGATACAACCTAAAATCCTATTTCCCTAACACTATCAACAGCACACTGCTTGGATAGCTTAAGAGACTGATCAACCATTGCATCCAAGATCCCTTTCTTTCATGACACTGTTAAGGTTATTCCCATCTAAATTATCTTATAATTCAAATTATGATAACCCACATGCATTATCTTGCAGTTACTATGATTAAAATCCATCTGCCATTTATTCGCCCAACTTACTAAATGATCTAAATTATTTTATAAAGCATCCTCCTTACAGCCAGCAACACCCAATACCTTAATATCATCAGGAAATTTAAGTAATTTATATAGCATTATTTCATCTATCTCAGTGGTGTAAATAAAAAAAGAGTCCTGGGGTGCCCCATTTGTGACATTAATCCAGTTTGACTGACCTCCATTTATAACAACCCTTGCTTTCTTCCATCCAGCCATTCTTCTATCCAATTTGCTAACTCATCCCCCACACCTATAGAGATTTTTCACAAGCCTTTTATGTGGCACCTTGTCAAACGCTTTCTGAAAATCCAGATACACCAAATCTACACCAATACTCTCATATACATAAGCAGTAACCTTTTCAAAGAATGTCAAAAGATTTGTAAGGCATGATTTTGCCTTAGTGAAACCATGTTGACGAACCAATAAAATTCTAAACTTTGTTAAATGATTTTGCAAAGCATCTTTTATCAGACTTTCGAAAGCTTTTCCCACAATTGATGTAAAACTAATAGGTCTTTAATTACTTGGACAATTTTTTGTACCTTCCTTGAAATGAGGAGTGTCACTAGTTCACTTCTAATCTTTTGGCACCTGCCCCCTATTCAAGGACTTACAAAAAATAGTAGCAAGTGGCTCAGATATCCAATCCTTAACCTCCTTCAAAATCCTTGTGAAAATATTATGTAACCCATGAGTCTTATCGTTCTTTAAGTTTCCGATTATTTATTCTTTTTTTTTTTTGAGTACCTATGGGCGAAATTCGAAGAAATACTAAACACATATGGAATGATAAAATATAATTATAATTAAGTAAATCGTGTTTTCCTCAGTTATGTTTCGCTCACCAGAGAGTACAAGCTGTTGCCGCCAGATTTTTAAATAAAATCACTGTTTCGAAAATCGTGGAGCGTATGATAGTTCTATTTTAGTTGTGTGTAATCTTGTAGTTTATTTGCTATTGAGCACAGACATACATATTTTTATTAATGTAACTTTATTGACCTGTTTTGAGAAAGAACAGTTAATATTTAAGTATTGAGCTGTGCTATTAAACCTGAGGCGAAGAGTGAGTAACTTAAATTTCAAACAATTCAATTTCATGTCTTTTCGTTTGTTTTGTTTTTTCAAAGTATTACTATTACTCAGTCTATATAATATTAAGCCTTAATATGTATTAGTAATAAAATTTAACTATTTCAGTTTTGTGTTCTAACTGTAAGTTAAGTAAGACTGATAAGTGAAAATGTATATTATAATTGGGACTTAAGAATTTTGAACATTTCAATAAAAATTTGAAAGTTACGATGATCGGGTAACTAAATTATAAGGAAGTAAATTACTATTATTAAAACTACAAATGAAATACCAACACTAATTTTTATGGCCATAATATTAATATCATATAGTATATGATCACAAGAATCAAAATATTAATTAGTTATTTTTTTTCTTTAGTTATACCAATTTGCTGGTACCATATGTTGTGGTCACACTCACAGAACGTCAAAAGTCCTGAGATTGAGAAGAAATGTATGTGGTAGCAGGAGTCAGTATTAGATCCTGTGTCTTCTTAACTTAAGTTCTTGTTAAAAAGGCTGGTGTATTATTCATCTATCCAGTGCCTCCTTTAATACTTAATTATTTTAATGTTTTTGTTGATTTAATGCTAGGTTGGTTGAATGTGTTAATGAAAAAACTTTCTGTTTTTAATCTGCTGCTGTGTTCGGGGCTCTCCCAAGTAGAAATGTATGTGGCAGCAAAGGAAAGATTTCATTTGACTTCTTTTAACATTAACTTCTGATCAGAACAATCTTCCTACTTAAATTGAAACTGAAAATCAACCTGTTAACGAGTATGGTTAATTAAATTTATTTTTCTTACTTATAAAGATTATAATGTTATCAGTTAGGTGAATATATTTTTCTTGGTTCATATCCTATTATTGTAATTATTAATTAATATTACTTCATTTTATTGTGTGGTCTTATTCTGTGATTGGGTGAGCTTAGTCTTAATGGTTAGTGTGCCAAGAATGTGAATCCAAGGGCTCATGGTTCATGTCCTGCTGCCACAAAAACATGCTCCACACTTTGGGGCCACGCATGTTATAAAAATGGGAATCATATTCTATTATTCAGTCAGGTGATCGGTACTGTTGACCAGTGCCTTCCATTTAATATGTTCAAAACTAGGGACAACTGTGCACAGATAACAATTGAGTAACTTTGTAAAAAAATTGTAAGGCAAATGAACAGTCTTCTGTGGGTTTATGAGCTATGGGAAGTAGACTGGAAGTACAAAGTCTTGTATGGCTATTATACTTCTGAATTTAAATATTTTTTTTCATTCTTTTTGTTTCTCCAGTGTACTGGAATCCATACTCAAAAAGTCATAAGGTATGTTGTACATGGTATTTTCAGTGGTTTGTTGTATTAACTGTAGTTGTTGGCTCTGAATACTGTTCTTCTGTTATGATGTTTACGTGTCCTTTGTACATTTTAGAGACCTTTCACATAGGAAAATTTGGTCGTGTGCATCTGACTGCAATTATGATATGACTACAATTTCTTAAAATGAATATGAACTTTGGTTTAAATATTGTTGAAATTTTTACACAACCTTTGACAGAAAAGTGAGTTTTTCTGTTTTTATATACGCTATGAATAACAGTAATATACTAAATACTTAAGTAAAGTACTAATACATGGTATTTATTTTTATTCCCAGGGAGAAAAAAAAAAGTATAAAATTGTGATAAGAAACTTTTTACATTATTGATAAATAAAGTTAGTGTCTTGATGAATAAAATTACTTTAGGAAGAAGTCCATGGAGCTGGAAGAGCTGGCTGAATACTTTTTGGAGAAGACTAAAGTTTTAAAGAAATGTCTATTGCTGCGAAACATGGATAGTTCATCCATGAATGTGATCCAGTCCATCCAAGAATATATTATCCAGTTGAAAAACTTGATGTTGAAAATGCGTGAAGAGGTAGATTACATCCAGAAGAACCTTAAAAACTATGAAGTATGTATTTGAAACCTAAGAAATAGATTAGAATATGATAGTAAAATCTAACATTACTTGTATTGCAAACAAGAAGCAAAGGATCAACAACTGATCCATGAAACACTATGATAACAAAGGTCCTTTTAGATTAAACTCCATTAATATTTATTTTTAGACACTGATTACAAATCAGAAAGGTAATTATTTATTTATACAAATAACTAACTTGTCATCACTATTATTTATGTTAATCAATAGCTTAGATAGATTAAGAAACCAGTTTAGAAAGGTAGTTATTTATTTATACAAATAACTAACTTGTCATCACTATTATTTATGTTAATCAATAGCTTAGATAGATTAAGAAACCAGTTTAGCTACAATACATGTATAATGAATTGCAAGGCATGTTTTGGATAAATAACAGGAAGAGTAAAGGTTGATTAACTATGTGTTGTAGGGACAAACATCCTATCTGGAAAATGTGTTACAAGTACAAGTTTTATGTATTAAATGAACAAATTTGTGCAATGTGTTGTTATACCTGCTTTGTATCCAACAACAAATAAGTATTTTTCTTAAAAAGGTTGTACACAGTATACTGTCTCAAGCATGATTGAGTTAGTAAAGTGTATGAAGAAAGTACAAATAGTATGTATTCAGTAAGAAGCAGCTCTACTACACTATCTATGAGAAGTAAACTTGATAAAAAAATAACTGTTATTCAGGAAGGCTGGTGTCTCGCAGATATATCTAAAGTATCTTCAAAATGCAGGCTTAGGACTATTGTGCAAAGAAAAAATTAAATGCAGACAGAAAAGGAAAACAAATTAATACAATATTTATTCACAACATTGTGTATCTTGAAATGACTATATCTGCTTATTATGAAGTTAGAATAGTCCATTAATCAGTACATTTGAATCTAAATGGGAACTGTGACCCTTACTTCTGAGCTATCAAGTGATTTTTCATTATAGGATTTATGTGCAGTATGTGTAATAGCTATTTGATTATTTTACACTTAGGACATTGCATTGTGGCCATATTAACCTAGTTTTGTATCTTGGTCCCAACACAAATATCTTGCTCTTTAACTAATCTGTGACGTTCATACACTGATATTCTCACAGATAAGTCTTTATGTACAGGTTCAGGACTGTTATGCAAAGAATAACTTGGGCAACAAAGGAAAAACAAAACACAAGTAAACAAATAAACACAATCTTTATTCACAACACTTTGTGTGTTTGCTGTCCAGCTTCTAATCTGTGTGACTGTTCTTTGACTGCTGGAGTTGATGACAGAAACAAGAACTTAAAACCAGAGACAGAATCATGGAAGTAACCCACTTATATATTTAGACCAAACAATGAGAGTGGTACCCCATAATCCTTAAGTTGCATACTTCAACTACTGGTCTACATATAATTCAGACTTTTCTAAAGCAGTTTTTTACAAGTATCTGTATCACCTGTTTCATTAGGCTATCTTACAAAAAAATCTATGCAGAAACATATACGTGCATGAGACTTATGAACCAAGATTGTTGAACATAACTTTTCACATGTAAAAGTATTTGTATATACTTGGTTACCTCTGTTTAATTGAAAATGAAATGTTATTGATAACTTATTTTTAACAAATTTTATTGAATATAAATTATGCTTTTACTTAGATATACCTGAATAAAGATAATTTTATGGTAGTTATGTAAGGATGAAATCATTGAATATTTCCATTACGATACCCCTTTATGTAATGGTTTCTCATTTGTTTGTTTTTTCTCTGCTTAGTTAAAATTCAGTATCTTGAGTCTTTATTACATACATGAAACAAGTATAAATTGAAACATTATTGAAAATGTTTTTAAACTAATTTTAGCAAATATAAATTATGCCTTATATTTTAAGATTTTCTTCAATGTAACTTTAGTTTTACAACTATGCTTAAGTGCATTGGTTTTAAGAATCTAAAATAAAAATTTTAGAAAAAATTATTACAACAACGTTTTTGAAATTAAGATTTCAACATACAAAATATTTCAGTATCAATGTCATACTAAGTCTGCATACAAGGGTATTTAGTAAGTATAAATACATACACTAGATAAGTAGATTAGTAGTGTCACCTCATGTGTGAGAGATGCCAAGATGTTGTGAAACTGAGGTAAAATAGATTACAAGAGCTAGGATTATGGAAAATTGAAACACAGTTGTATCAAATAATTGTAGTATTTACTCTTGCATGACCTACTGATCATGAAACTCTTTAATGTTGCCGTAACCTTCCAGGTTAAGGTTAAGCATAAGAGCTGTCAGAGCACGACAATCTTGTAAAGGATGTGGAAAAAGTGCTGGAAATCTTTTTAACACATTTGTGGTTACCTTTTAAAATTTGTTGGAAGGTATAGATAAGCCATATTTGAAGAGTGTGCAGTAGAGTTTGGCAATTAGTGGAGTTTGCTAACTGATTAATCATCGGGCTCATTAACTGATTGCCATTACAAGACTTAAATAGTTAGAATAATCTAAAACCATAATTGTTGTAAACACTAGTTTTGACTAGTTACTTATTTATGTGAGTTGTAACACTAAGTTAAGTTGAACAACCTTGAAGTAATGAAAAATAATAATATTTGGTTACTTGGGTATTTGAAATAATTGAAAATAGCAATAATCAGAAACACTAAATTTTGATCAGTTGATTAATTTTGTCGCATTAATCAGTTAATTATTTTAGCTGACACCAATTGATATAATTGATACTCATAGGCAATCGATTAAGTTAATTATTCAGCTCTAGTGTGCATCATGCTTTCCGTGATCGTGGATTCATTATAAAGATTGAGATATTTAGACCTTAAATCACTCATAGCCAGCATTTTGCTTGACGTAATCAAATCTATCAGAACTGTAATATTGATCACTTATTGTACTTTTTGTAATGTATGTATACAGGTCTGGAGAAGGCATGTTAGCATTTGAACTATAATTGTAATCTGCCAACTGTGAACGATTGTGGTGGTGTAAGCTATATTCTACATCTTGGGCGTGGGGCACAATATAAATTATTAACATCTCTAAATACCATAAATGTCAAGAGCTGTTAAATGAACATACTCTAGAAGAGTTTCTTGGTCAGATCCATATTTTAACATCAAATGCTTCCTGCTACAAAGGAAATAAGATCCACACTTAGTTTCAACTAATAATATGTCTTGGAATGGTCCACACTGAACCCATGTTTTAACTCTGTAGAATATGTTTCTTATATATGGTTAACATTCCACAAGTAAAGATCACAGCCTTACAACTGTAATCAAATGGCAAAGTTTTTGAAATGTGAACAGAGCCAGATTACACCAGATAATTATGAAATTTACTTGGGATTATACTGTTACAACAGCGGGGGGTCACGTGACGCTAGTAACACGTCATATTCTCGAAGGTTCGTGAATGCTCGAGTGTTTACTAGATATGCGTTATTCATGTATATAAGACCACCAAGAAGTGACGGCAACAATAGAATGTAGTTAAATTGCAGACAGAGATAGAGACGGACAGTTGGGTCGAGCTCGTGAGTCGTTCATTGTGAATAATAGCGTTTGTTTCATTTATAGCATGACTGTAGAAATTAAGTGTATTGCAAAGTTGTATTGAGAAAGAATAAACTAGTTTTATTTAAGAAAGGACTTGTATCACTAAAGTTTCTTCGGAAAGAATTTTTATGGAAAATTAACAAACGAACAGAGACGTAACCATACCTTACAGCCTCAGTTATTGGGATTAAAAGTTGTGTTAGGATAATGATCACTATATGTATGGGATACTTCGTGTGAAACAGCCTTTATTTATTTTATACAGATAAAAGAAGTAACTTAAGTCTCTGGAAAGTTTATGGCCTGTGCAAGAAACATATTCTATTTTTTACTTTCTAAAACTTATAAATTTATAACCTTTCTAGGAACTTCAGAAGAAGCTTCAGGAACTGGATCAGAGATTGGATTATTGCAATCAGAATATCCCACTAGCTCTAGTGCAGCAGCTCTCTTCATTAACTAGGTAACTTTTGGTTAAAATTTAAGCAATTTTTGACAGATTGTAATATTATTGATGGAAGCACTTATGAAAAAGTCACTTTCTTAGAAGTAAATTACTCTCTGACTAATAATGTTTTCTGTGCAGTTATATTGTGAATGATATATCAAAGTTTTTACTTATGGTAGTAGCATCTACTCCATATGTAGAAATAAGAAGACTGTAGAAGTTCAGTAACATTCTCTTAAGTTTTTGATAAAAAATATTGAGGTATTAACCCTATCTGGATGAATGAACACCTTTCAGGCAGGTGTCAGTTGCATACCGTATTTCAAAGTTTAAGTAAAAAATTATAATTAACTACATTGTAACAATTTTAATAGTTTATTTAGGTGTTCTTCCTTCTATGAAAGCTACAGATATTTTTTTCAGGTAAATTAGTTATTTTGAGAAAGTAAGGTAAGTGATATTCTATTGACTCAGCTCGTTACTTATTGAATGTTATTGTTAACTTTATCATATTTTAACAACAAAGATAAGTAAAATAACTTTTTATTTACTGAAAAAACAATATTTATTAGATATAAATTGATCTTCACCAAGAATATTGATAGCAACAATATTGTTATCTAACCTGACCTGATTGTGACAGATTATGCCACCAATATATTTTTGTCAGTTTTTGTTGTGTTTCTTTTCCAAGTTATAGCTGGACTTGGTAGATACTACAGCTGGCAAATTAAACGTATCAAAAGAAATACATTAATAAATATTCAAATTGAAACTGATTTTATATAGAGATAATGGAATTTTCTGGTCAAAAAGGAAGTATTTTAATGTTTTTTTAAAACCATGTGTGTAAAAGAAAATTTTAACTTTCACAAATAAAAAGTAATAGAAAAAAATAATCAAATTATATTATTTTTCTAAAAACCAAAACTAAATATTATTTAGCAAGATTTTACTAAGAAAAAAGTCGGTAGCTACCACTGACCCCTCCTCCAGTCTAAAAGGGCTAAGAATGATGCATCATCTTTTAAAGCTAGACATTTTTGTGAAGAATGGAGAGCTAAAAGTAGATGAAAGCCAAACCTGTGCTTCTTTCTACCAACTAGTGTACGACAGGAATATAAATGTTGGCTCATAGAAAAAAAATTATAAATTCAAACTGCTTGTCCTCACTTTACGTGTAAAGTCTGTCATGCTATAAGGACTCAAATAGTTATTCAGATTTCTACCTAGAGGCAAACCCATGAATTTTTACATAATTCTTATTTGAACTTTGAAGTTTACTCCAGAATCTCCTGTACTTTCATGAATCGTGTCTTGCAAAAATGTTTATACTCATGTTATTTTTAACTCATATAAGATTAATCAATGTGCATTTATCTAATGATATTAATTTGTTAAAACTCCCTGACATAACTTGTATTTAATTTATTGTATGCCTAGTAAATTCTAGTTGTTAAAAACCTAGATGGAGCAGGAAACTCAGACCACCACAGATTAAAGCATAAGTAAGGCCTTTTAATGTCTCAAGATTATACTTCTGTGTAGTTTGTTCAAAATATGAAACTACTTAATTTGTATTTGAAGAGGTACAGTTTTATTAAATGTTGCTTAATATTTTCATAATGATAACATGATGTTTTACGACAACATGGGACCTATTGGTCCATCTCAGCTGTTCCATCCTCTAAACTTAATTAAAAAAAAAAAAATCTTAAAGCCAGCCCTTATTATTCATATACTTATGAAGCTTTTTCTTAAACTCACTTAAATTTACTGCCCCTACAACACCCGAAGGCAACCCATTCCAAAGGCCAACCACCCTGTTGGAAAAATGAAACTATCTTAGCTGAAGATGACTCCTACCTTGTCAAAATTTATATTTGTGTCCCCTAGTCCTACTATTCTCACTGTTAAATATGAAAAAAAATGATGCATCAACATTATCAATTCCCTTTACAATCTCAAACACCTCAGTCAGATCCCCTCACCGTAACTCTTATATTTCTAAGAGAAACAATTTGAGAGATTTCAGCCTCTCCTCGTATGACAATCCCTCCATCC